TTTTACTCGCTTTAGACCTTCAATAAAATAATTGACCTATACCAAAAAAATATATCTCAAAGTAGAAGATCTGCCAATTATTATGCTTTTTTTAGAATTAAACTCTATTCAGTAGTTTTTGAGAAAAAAATTCCGAAAATTTGTCGATTTCGTCACTTTTTTCACATTAAATTGTAAATGCATCGGAAACGAAGCATTTTTCGAATTTTTGTCACAGAACAAAGTGTTTATTTTGGTGCATTTTACAATACAAAACTGCTCAAAGTAATTCGGCGCGTAATTTTTTTTACAACTTTTTTGTTTATAACAATTGACTGACCCCGCCGAAAAATATAAAAAAAATATGTAAATTATCAGAAAAATACACTTTATAAAATAAAAAAAATTTCATGCTGCAGGTCTTTTGTTTTAAAAATTTAGTCGGTTACCTTCATTTAGAAGCATCTTTTTAGGGGTAAACCGTTCGCCTACTAATTCGGTGTGCAAGTTATCAATTACATTTTGAATAACATTTGGTGTTATGTTTCAAACTTCTTCTCTGATACAATTTTTCAATCTTTTATACTGTCTGGTCTGTTTACATACACTTTGCTTTTAGATAACCACACAAAAAAAAAAATCAATCCAGTCGGATTAAGTCAGGGGAGCGTGGTGGCCATTCATGTAGCCTTCTTCTGCCTATCAATCGATTTGGGAAAACTTCATTAAGGTAATTTCTTACATGGAGGCGAAAATGTGGTTGGGCACCATCTTGTTAGTTCCAGATATCACCAGCAGGCATATCGTGCTCATTAGGGTTAGAAAAAATTAATTCCATGGCTGGATTCAGCTGAAAACGCAGAAAATCCAAATAAATGTCGCCTGTCAAATTGTCCCCAAAGAAATAAAGTTCTAGTATGCAATATCCTACTATTCCAGCGCAAATATTCACTTTCCAGCCGTTATGTATGTTTTTCTTATATCCAATGCAGATTTTCTGGGCTCCAAAACCTAGTATTTTGCCTGTTCACGGTTCCCTTTAAGCAAAAAGTTGCTTCGTCAGTGATATTTGTGGGATTATTTAAGTCGGAGTGTCTTTCAAATAAATTTTTAATTTCCTCTCAAAACTGTAATTTTCGGTCTGTGTCATCTGCCCATATTTCTTGTAAGACGTTAACTTTGTAGGGATGCCACTTTTGAAACTTTGATTTCTGTGAACTGAGGACATTGACAAATTGAAGTTGGCCGAGATAGATCTAATGGATGGGTGAGGATTTTCAGTAACGGCTAGCGTCACATTTTGACGGTCATTTTCGCTTACCGTTCTTCGCCTTCGTGATCCAGGTAGATCTTTCACACTTTCGGTTTCTTCAAACTTTTTGGATACTTTACTTATTGTAGTTCGACTGATTCTTTGATCTGGATACTTATCCTGTTGATTCCAGATTTTATCTCCCGCATCCAATCATAATTAAAATTTCAATTCTCTGTTTTTCGGTTAAACGGGAAACCATTTTTCTGAATAATTTAACAACGAATGAATTGGAACTAAAACGATTCACGTTGTACCTAAGGTACTCTGGTGAATTTTATGTGTTTATCGATGTTTTTTTTTGAGAAAAAAGCTTTAAAGTAAATAGAAAATGATTAATAAAGAGTAAGTACATTTTTTAAAGTACAGAAGAGACTATGATTGTTTGAAATATTGAAATTGTCGTCAGTACGACATAAAAGACAATTTTTTACACATTTTTGACAACTATGACAAAAAAGTAGGTATAACCTTGCATCACCGAATTCGTCTTTAAAATGGCTATTTATACTATACAATATAGAGCACACTATTCAAAAAAATGTCGATAATGTTAGACCTATGTCTGTCAAACATGGCTCAAAGAAATAGGAAATATCGCAGAAAAGTGACAATTTCTATTAACTAATTGACCTGTTTCAGCGATTTTTTAAAATCTGAACTGAAAAAAGTGTCTACTTTAATTTTCTTTACAGAAACGTGTATTTTTTAATATTCAAGTTTCAAGCAAAATTATTAGTGAAGTTATATTTAGATAAATTCATTTACTTTTCTGGAATAGACATACTAAAATAGTTCGTCAATACAGTAACAATAAATAAATGGACATGATGAATACTAGGTATTGATCGAGTCAGCAGTTCAAAGACTGTTTCTTCATATTTCTGTGGTAAGTTAAAAATAAAATAAATAAAAATTATCATATTTACAAAAAATTTTTATACATCCTCGTCAAGTTTATAGACACCTTGTATTTGTATAAAGTTACTAAATCATATATGGTAAAAATATTGAATTGAATAATATTAAAGGATGATAGTAATTAATTTATAGTAGCTTAATTATTAAAAGAAATAAATATGTATAGAGTTATTATTAAAAAGTGTGTTGTACAGAGCATGCACACTTAACATTCCCACTGACATTTCCTTATAGCTGTTTTACATTGACAATTTATTCATCAATAAATTGACGAAGTTCTTCATCAATTAATTCACGAATTTATTGGTAAACAGTGGGGTTTTACACTGCTACAGACTTTGTCAAGTTTTTTGACGTATGAATCAGTTCTACCAATGAATCAAAGAAGCAAATAAATTTCAAAAATGTCACCTTTCCACTCATAATTGTAGTGATACAACATCGGTACCGTTCTGACACATATTGTATAAATATTAGTTTTTGTAAATAACAAATCAGTAAAAACAATGCAAAACTCGCACGACGCCACATAATTATTTACATATTCCAATAACATAACCTCATTACTGATCTGAGGCTGGAAATCTGTTGGGTTGGTACTTCCGAACTTCACGAAGAAATTGACGAAAATTAAAACATGCTCTAATTCGTCAAGAACTTGAAGAATAAATTTATGAAGTTATTTGACAGTAGATTTGTTGCATTACACTTGTCCAATTTCTTGATGAAGCGACTTCATCAATTAATTGATCAATAAATTGTCAATGTAAAACAGCTTTTAAAAACTAAAAGACGTATTTTTTTAATTCATAGTTATAGTTTCATTGAATAGTCAATTAAATTTGGAACAATTTCAGTAACAAATGTGCGATATTTTAAGGTTAATTTCCTTGCACAAAAAATAAAGTGATTTGAGTAAATTTACCTTAATACAGTATTTCTACGTTGAGAAGTTATAGACCTGGGAAGGTATATTTTTTACTTTATTTTTGTACAATAATTCATTTATTTTTTGGGTAATTGTACTCAAATTTGGGTAAAGAACTTTTTTATGTGATAAACATGTGTATGTTAAAAGTGTAAATCTTTGTTAAGGATAAAATTTTTTGGAAAATGATTAGTTACTTTGAAACAGCATTCGATTTCCTTTAAAAAGAGTACGAGTATACTTATGTATTTCGCTATATTTCGCTTAAAGTATGGCCTATTCTTTACTGAATACCCTGTATACACATTACTAAAGGGCAGTAGCCAAATCGTGCGTCCTCAGAATTTATAGAAAATGAATTAAAGTCTATGCCTACATAAATTGCAGTTTTACACAATTTTTTCAGGTTCTAATATCAAAAATATACCTTGTTCTATTTTCTGTTCGTTTTGTTTGTTGTGTTGCAATTATACGTATTGTATTTGTAAAGTTTTTGATATTTTAACACATATTGCCCAATTAGATAAACATTATTAAAGGGCAATAACCAAATTGGCATTCTCTCATCTCATTCTCCCTCTAATCGAAAGTTAGTTGAATTTAGTGACATTTTGCAGTTTTAAATAGTTTTTTGAGGCACTAAGACAAAAACGTTGATCGATTTTCTGTCAATTTTGTTTGTTTTGTTGCAAGGTGTTATAAACAGCTCATTTATTTATTATCGCAAAATATGGTCAAATTATAATATAAATAGATAATAGTTAATAAAAATACACATTCAAAATTTCTTTATTTGTAGTCCCTGAAATGCCATAAACTCGAAGTTAAATTGTATTATATGTAAATGTTTGGAATAATCATCAAATAGGTGCATTTGTCTTTATCGAGGAAGTCTAACATACGAGGTATATTCAGAAAATAACTTTTTGAATTAAGTGCTAGGAGAGAGACGAAAGCTAGGTTTATGGCTACGACATCGAGACACAAGTTCAATAATTACAACAGATTGGCAAAGGATTAAAGTTTTACTCAAAAATTAGGCTTTTTTGAAAAACATAAGAGAGTAGTGGCGTACTATTTTATTTAGAAAAATATGCCACAGATATATTTTAGGAAAAGGCCTCAGATTTTGGACAATATTTACATAAATACATGTGCCCAATTTCAAATTATTTCACTTACTAGTTTTTAAATTATATCTTTTTAATGAAGCGTCCTATAAAAACTTTAAAATACGAGGTTTCATTTTTGGTCATCATATGTGAATCACCCTGTATAAAAAAAACAAAAATTTTTTAGGGCTCTTATTTAAAATCATAGAATTTTATTAACTTTTGTATAAGCCGTAAAGAACAGTATAATATTGCCCTTTACTAGTGTTTATCCTGAAAGCAGAAGAATAAATAAAATAATAATAAATAATATTTTTGTGCCAAGTGAACTCTTTACTGCAGTTCGCCTCCCGATTTACAATAAATACCTACGTCTTTTAATTTCTAAAGAAACCCTAGTGGAATTGTTAAAAGGTACACCCGCTTATAAAAGATATAAGTAGTTTTTTATGAACATTTTTTTTATTGAAGATAATTATTAAATGAAAACGTGCACATTTATAAAATGACATGTGTATATGTGTATGATAAAATTATAATAAACTAATTGTACTTGGTATTTTATGAAATTCTTAAATACAATATGATTATCGACCCAAATTTTTTTCGAATTGCTTCAAGAGCTTTAAATATAAAAAATCAGAGCTCTTAAAGCTTTTAATGACTTACCTATGCTTAAATGTAAAAATTAAATTTACGATTTTCCCTAGCGATATTTCATTGTACAATTAAAGCTTAAAATACTAACCTGATAATTCAATGAAGATAAATCCTCGATCACAAGACAGTCACTCTTCGAAAAGTAATATTTCGCAACAAAAGGTACCTTTGTCAGCTGAGAAAATTCCGAAAGAAAATTTTTGTAATTCAGTATCTCCTTCTTGAATATGCCCATACTTTCTATGTAAGCTCTCTGTGTCTCATTGGCCGTTGGCATTGTTTTTAGGAAAAATCGATGAGAATATACTACATTTTGACCATTTCTTGTATATTCAATGGTCACATAGTAATGTGCCGCCAAAAATCCGAAAACTTTACCACTAATTCTGTTTATTTCATACTTTGCTAACGTTGCATTTTCGTCGAATTTTGAAAGAATATTCTCACAGTCTTGGGGTGACAATAAAACACCAACTTCTCCGGGCATTTTTCATAGATTAGGATTTTTGTGAGGCACCTGCCCGTTTTATGCAGTATTTTATCTAAACTCCACATGCAATATATTAAATAAACGTAATTAGCTGGTATTATAAGATTATCAGTAATATCATAAGAAAGCCATAATTTATCTTTCGTTCACTTGAAATTCCCAGCCAAATTTGACGTTTTGATACCGAGCACTATAAAGTAATATTACCTGTCTTTCCGAAAGTATGTCGTAAGTGATATATACGTAGGATTAAATTAGGATTATATTAAAAAGTATATGCAGAAATATTATAACTTAAATTAGCAGAAACTCTATTTCAAATAATCCCTACAAAGCAGAATTGCAAGGGTTAATAACAAATCTGAAAAATTAAAAAAAGTATTTTGTTCACGTTGGGTTTGCCCGTTTAGCTTATGCAGGGTATTTTTTGAGTGTGGAGCTTTAATTTTTTTGCACACTCAGGTAATTTAACACCTTTAACAATCTAATAAATGTAGGATTTGAAAAATCAATTTCTATTAAAAAAAAATTAAATTACAATTTGAACAATTATTAAAATTTATTGAAGCAATATAATTTAAAACAGCGTTCTCGTCTGATGATGCTATCGTTGCACATTTTGTAACAATACTCTGGACTGCGATATCACTTTTTATCACCGTAGAATTTCCTCAAGAATTTCCATTTAAAATCTTTTCCACAGAGTCTTGGATATATCCCTCAGCTACAGATGACGAACGCCACCCACCGTGCCTTTTGAGGCCCAAAACATCTATTCCTTGGTTTACCGGAATAGTGGTAGAACTACTTCGGAATGCGTGTCCGGTATAACTTGAGGGATCCGTCAACTTTAAACATTGTGCACTTTTACTGGATCAACTTCCTATGATATTTATACCCACTATCTGGTTCGTGGCCTTCCCATCTCGTATTGCCAAGAATAAGTGAACTGACGTTGCTTGCTTTGGTCGTAGTGCAAGATATTTTTTTATAAAATTCCAAACAATTAATTGTCTTGTTAAAACAATTAATTTGTTTGAAATATCAACAGTTTTATGTAAAAAATATTGTGGCTTTGAGCATAGGATATTCAGCCCATAAGCTTCGTGGAGACACAGCTGATACAGTGTGAAACATCGCCTTAATGTTAAAGATATCATCACCGTTCTTAGTGGTGAAAATTCGAAATATTTGGAATTATTCAATTTCCGTGGCTGAAAACATACATACAAAGGTATTAAATTTTCGAAACTGAGTTGCACTAACCAAATTTGGATAGGTGATAGCTAATACAATGCGGAACATCGCCTTAATGTTAAAAATGTTGTCACCGCTGTTCTTGGTGGTGAAAATTCGAAATATTTGGAATTATTCAATTTTCGTGGCTGAAAACGTACATAGGTATTGAATTTTCGAAATCAAGAGAATTGTACTAACCAAATTTGGACAAGACATAGCTAATACAATGCGAAACATCGCCTTAATGTTAAAGATGTCGTCACCGCCGTTCTTGGTGGTGAAAATTCGAAATATTTGGAATCATTCAATTTTCGTGTTCACGAAATCTATCTGTCAAAGAAAAAGTGCCCAGTTTTAATCATATACAGTAGCTATGGTTTCTTTTAAATAATATTTCGAAATATAGTAGCTAATCAGTAAAGTAAAATAAACATTAATTATCTGACATATCAGCGGAAGCATATAAACATAAATGGAATGACGTAACAGTGAACTGAGCTCCAAAATGAACAAGACTTAAATATGTGTTTATTTGTTTCAAGATTATCTATTATCTAAATGTCTTTATTTTACACATGGTGTCCTGGAAATAAGTGACAAAATTAATTAAAAACAACAGCTTTTGTCTAATTAATCGTTTCATACCAAACAGCAGCACATTTGTTTCTGTTGTTAACGAAGTTCAGGATCAAGGATTTTTTAACTGGGAACTTCGTAATCGCAGTTGACAACGGCTTGCTATTTGTAAGAATGTTACAAATAATCCTGGAACTAGCATTCGTAAGCTGACTATACATAGTACAATGTATCAAGAAACTCACTTCTGATGATTTAAAAAAAAAACAGTATCATGTATAAAAAGTTAAGTTCTTACAGTTTCGGGATCATCATCACCGACAGCAAGATTCTCAGTAAATTTTTGATCAGAATAGCAAACGAATGGTTCACTGGACCTTACACAATACGAGATCGTTTAGAAATTCTAATCTAAATTCTAAATCATTTATCAGGTAAATTATTTACTAGATGCCGTTCCATTGGAAAGTCCAACATGTGGCACCTTCATAATAGTGCTTCTTGCCATAACGCACGAATTACTCGAGATGGATGCACGGTGGATTGGTCTAAATGGCCTGCTCGATCGCTACATTTGATGCCGTGCGATTTATATTTATGAAACAGACAGTGAGAAACAACAGAGAATGTCTCTGGAATAATCGCAATCGATTGATACAGGAATTTTGTAAAAAATGTAGATTTTATCTAGCATCTAGAAAAGTATACAGGTACTTCTGTAAAGATTAAGTCATTCATTTTATTAAATGAAATGGATTAAATTGCTATTGTACCACCTCGTAATTTAAAACAGAGCAATGTTTTTAATGTAGGTATAGCTTATTTAAGTTCTAGCTTTAATACTGAACATTAGAAAATCTGTTTTAATTTTGTGTTGCGTAGAGTTGGTCCTAACATGTTTCAACAAAAAGTATTAATTAACTGCGGAATATTTAAAACCAATTAGAGACCAGTAAAAAGCTGTTGGTCGATAAAATCCTGCCTCTAAAACTCCACTTCTCTTCCAGTTTCGCTCGCCATAGTTATAATTTATATGGGTAATTCTCTCAAAAACCGAAACGTACAGACCTGCAAATAATGCCATTTTTCTCAAGAATGGCTTTCTGTAGAAGATTTTCTCAAGAGACATTTTTTTTTTAATAAAACGACCTTTTCAATGTTTTAAAAAAATACGACCAATGTAAAAATTTTGACCGCTAAAAGGGAGAGGTAACCGGAGAAAACTATTACCCAGTATATTGATTTCATTAAAGCTTTAAGCAATAATACGCCACAATAGTCCCAAATAAATGTGTCAGATTTTAACGCGATCTGTAAGAAGCCTATGAAGTTATGAATTAAATTAGTTTTATTTTTGGCAACTTTGAAATTCTGTAACTCAAACACCAAAAGTTTTTTATTTATTTATTTTTTTTTTCGTAGATCTTATTTATTTATCGTCGTGAATATGCAATCAAATGTTGTCGGTGAAATTTGCGGACACCTTGGATATCGACATTTCGCTAATTAAAGCTTAGTTAGGATGCCTATTGTTGTAGTACTTTCAACCTTTACATCGCTGGGCTATTGTAGTCTCTAGCGTCATTCGCGTTGAACCCTGTGCGCAATACACTCTCTCTCCACGTGTGGCTCCAGACGAATCCGAATACTGAAATCGATGTTAGTATTTATGTTTTTGTGATTTTGTTTACATTAGTTTTTCAAGTGTCAGATATGGCTTACGTGTGTAGCAACTCGGAGTTGATGGAAACACTGGTTTTCATACTCATTAATCAATGAGTTTACCTAACTGAAATGCGCTTAATATAGGTTATGTATCTATGAAATAAAGGTTATAATGAATTACTTATACATTTATATGTGTTATAAGCTTGATGTTCCATTTGTATAGCAGGGAAAATATGTTGTATAGATACTCTTAATCTGTATCTAACAGCCGTATTAATATAATAATTCGTTTTCATAATGATTATGATTTCCATTTTTAAAGTATAAAATACGACTTATAAAGATTAAGTGCTCGTTAACGCATAATCGGTTACAATCGTAAAATTTGCAGCAATCCATTGTGCATCAACTATTACGCTTCTTCTAGTTGGATGAGTATAAACAAAACACATATTTTGTGGTATACATTTCTGGTCGAGACTTCTCGAAGCGAGAATTCCCGGGAAATCTGGCCTTACTCGAGAAGAGAAAAAAGTGTCGAGAAATCGAGAAATTTAAAAATCACGCATGTCTTAAGTTCTTGACTGGAGTTCGTTTCGTTCATGCGTTCAATTCGTTTCTCGACAAATAACTGAGCGGTTAAAGTGNACTTTGTAGAGAAAAGTGACCATATCTCGAAGTGTGCCCATATTTTAATCATATACAGTAGCTATGGTTTCTTTTAAATAATATTTCGAAATATAGTAGCTAATCAGTAAAGTAAAATAAACATTAATTATCTGACATATCAGCGGAAGCATATAAACATAAATGGAATGACGTAACAGTGAACTGAGCTCCAAAATGAACAAGACTTAAATATGTGTTTATTTGTTTCAAGATTATCTATTATCTAAATGTCTTTATTTTACACATGGTGTCCTGGAAATAAGTGACAAAATTAATTAAAAACAACAGCTTTTGTCTAATTAATCGTTTCATACCAAACAGCAGCACATTTGTTTCTGTTGTTAACGAAGTTCAGGATCAAGGATTTTTTAACTGGGAACTTCGTAATCGCAGTTGACAACGGCTTGCTATTTGTAAGAATGTTACAAATAATCCTGGAACTAGCATTCGTAAGCTGACTATACATAGTACAATGTATCAAGAAACTCACTTCTGATGATTTAAAAAAAAAACAGTATCATGTATAAAAAGTTAAGTTCTTACAGTTTCGGGATCATCATCACCGACAGCAAGATTCTCAGTAAATTTTTGATCAGAATAGCAAACGAATGGTTCACTGGACCTTACACAATACGAGATCGTTTAGAAATTCTAATCTAAATTCTAAATCATTTATCAGGTAAATTATTTACTAGATGCCGTTCCATTGGAAAGTCCAACATGTGGCACCTTCATAATAGTGCTTCTTGCCATAACGCACGAATTACTCGAGATGGATGCACGGTGGATTGGTCTAAATGGCCTGCTCGATCGCTACATTTGATGCCGTGCGATTTATATTTATGAAACAGACAGTGAGAAACAA